TTTTGGTTCATCACACATCATGAGTTCATCACCAAAATGAGGAAGAGTTTCTGGTTTCTCTTTCAACACTTTATCACTAACTTTTGGCAAATCTGGTGGTGCTTCAACACGAGGTTCTGCCTCCCGAACAGGTGCTCCTGCCGGTCGATCTCTCGACCCTGAACTCGGACCTCCAATTGGTTCCGTGTCTGAGTCAAAGGCGACAGGTCCTGGACTGGCTTCCAAATTTCATGAATGATCGGAACATTCTCTCGAACTTCCATGTGAATCTTTGCCGATTCCGGGCAAAAGTGCTTGAGATCACCAAGACGGTCCGCCTTGATCATGTAGGGCAATTCGTCTGGCAGCCAAACAAACCCTCGTTTGTGGTGGTTTACTTGAATTCCCAAAGACAACGCATGAGGACATGAATCCAAGGTGTAGAAAGTGTTGAGACCACTCACTTGCCCTTGGAGTTCGATGGCTTTTGTGGTCTTCCTCTCCCCACCCCCCGTTCTAAAGATCAGGTTCTCCGGTGGATCAATGATGAATCCTCTCCAATCATCGGGCATCGAGTCTTTCGACAACAAATTCCTTCCCGCACCTGAATCCATGAGGAATTCCATCTGACATGGATGCGACGCCAATGCAGGGACACTTGAATGATCAATCTGGGACATCGGATTGCAGCATGTGATGGCGGTCATGATCGTAGTCACAGCTTTAGCCAACAACTGGACACAAGGAACTCTCAAGGAACTCCGAGTGACCTTTCTGCAAACCTTCTTTGCTTCTTTCAAAGCGGCTTCGGCTGACGGGATCGATGCGAATGCAGTTGCAGCAGCTACGGAAGCGGCTCCGGCATGACTAGAAGAACTAGCACCAGTACCAGACTTCATGCGAGGTTTCGGGCCTTTGTACAAGTTCCCTTTGTCATGGAGGAATTCACAATCCTTTCCGCGAGTGCATGAATCGTATGCGAAGTACATGCATGGCAGTTTTGCTTTCTGCTCCTTAGTTAGCGGTGGCTTGTCCTCCTTGTTCTTGCCTTTGCCATCTTTCCCTTTGCCTTTTCCCTTTTGGGCAAATGCTGCATCAACATTCTTATCTTCATCAGCCTTCTTGGACGTTTTGGGCTTGTCCTCTTTCTTGACCTTTGTGTCTTGCTCTGGCTTCTTGTCCTTCTCTTTCTTTGTCTTCTCATCTTTCTTCTTCTTGTCTTTTGCTTCTGCTTGCGCCCCTCCAACCTTTGGATCTAGGCCTGCTGAGGTGAGAGCTTTGTCCGTTGATGTTGTGTTCAAAACCATTTGGGATATCTCAATGGCTTCACACATCTTGCTGTACAACCAATGGCTGGTTCGCTTGTGGCTACCTAGTGTTTGCTTCCCGAAACTTGTCAATTGCGAGTGCCATTTTGGGGTGGTTCTTGAGGCTTTCAAACAACAATGATCTCAGCGACGTTTCAGCTGGCATCTCACTAGGTTCAAGAGCGCCTACGCAAAAATCATATCGCTGTCGAAAGTCTTCAAGTGCCTTGATGTCACTACCATTCGTCTTCAATGACAAAAGGTGGTGCTGACTGAGTGCCGTTCCGCGGTCGCGATCGAGTCGAAACTTTTGAAAGATCAACCACAACAACTTGCGACCTTTCGGTTGTTGATCATGTGTCTGACATCTCTCTTGGTGGGTCTGAAACTCCAAGGCAAATTTTGTACCCTTTGCTGCTTCTAGCAATTTGGCGCCTAGGATTCGATCCAAGATGGGAAAGTCCTTTGCATTGTTGAACTCTTTTCCATCTTCCGAGATGTTGCAACGATTGAACCAACGGAACACGATGCTTTCATCATTCTTGGCAAACTTGCAAACCCCACTGAACACTGCGTTTCGGAAACTCCGGCATTTTGCTGCGTCTTGAGGCAAAGCAGGAATCTTTAGATAGTCATACTGTTTGATACGCATTAAGCGTTTCTCTCTTTTGTAGGGGTCCTCCGAATCGCTTGATGAACTATCTCCGTTTGGGGATTTTGGTGGTGAATCTCCGCCCCCTCAAGGGTTTCGGTTTGAACCCTTTCCTTTCGAGTCACTTGAAGAGGATGAAGAATCACTTCCTGGCGGCGATCCGGGGACTTTGCGGCGGTCTCTTGATCGATTCGATGACGGCTGATTGCCCAATTGCACAGGGTTTGCCGTCAATCCATCCAATTGCTGCATTTGAATGGTCAATTGATGCACTTGCATTTGCAAAGCCGTGTTTTGGTCACTTTGGATTTGAAGCCCGATCTGATCATTGTGCAAGGCAGCAGGCAACGCGACCCGCGACTCTTGCATTGGTTGACCCTGGAATTCGACCGTGCCAGGATGGTAGGATTTGGGAGTTGCAATACTATGCACCACCGGAACCAATTCACCCATTCCATGAACTTTCATAGATGGACTTGGCTGACCAACACTTTTAGGCTTCCTATCAACGAACGAGGTTGCCTTTGGCGGCGGACTGCAAGGATGGATGGTGCTTGGAACCCCTGGAGTACCACTCTTTGCAAGGGACTGCAACCTTTCTCTTGATCCTTGATCCTCCTCATCATTGCTTCCATTTGACCCCTCATTTCACTCATTTGCCTGGTTGTGGATTCCAATGCCTTCTCCCTTTGATTTAGGGCACCGGTCACTTCAACCACCTGGTTCGTGCGGTCAATCACTAAAGCCTTCAACTGCTCAATCTGGTTTTGATAATTAGCAACCTCTTGATGAGACTGATTCACCAAACGGGTAGCTTGACCTTGGGTTTGACGCACCAGCTCATGAGCTTCTTCTTGAGACTGCTGAACCAAGTTCCTGGCAGTGGATTCTACCGCCAGGATTTGAGACCTGGCTTGGGTTTCTATGGATTGAACTTGAGACCTGGCTTGATTCTCTATGGATTGAACCTGGCTTTGGATTTGGGCTTGAGCATTCGATTCAACACCCTGGATATGCTGAAGGGCTTGGTTCCTAAACTGGCTCTCCATTGCTTGGACATACTGAGCAGTCTGGTTCCTAGCATTGGCTTCAACTTCAGCAACGTATTGAATGGCTTGACCCTGTACGTCGGACACCACCTGGTGAGCCTGAGCTACTACCAGTGGGTTCAAATCCAAAAGATTGACTGATCTGGCATCGGTGAAATGAGACGACTGGTTGCTTTCGAACACAATCTGCCTAGCATCAATTTGACCAATGGTCGGTTGCTGGTATTCAACATCCGTCCTTGCTGTTGGGTCTTCATGGTGACTTTGACCCATCGTGGAGTGAGATGTTTCAGTCAGGGATGACAAACTCGTATCTTGGATAGGAGTTGCAATGGCTTCCCCAAACATGACAATCTGTTCACTCTCTGGTGAACCATGCGCACTTCCTCCTGATCCCTCCATCGCTTCTTTTCAAAGATCACACGACGTCTACTCGGCTGCAATGAAATTCTCAACTGCCTCCTTCGTCCAGCCGTCGTTCAACCAATGTGCGTATGAATATGCTGACCTTCCGTCCAAGCTCCTCTTCCGTGAAAGCTTAATGTGAATCCCTGTTGCCCTGTCGGTGGCCAAAGTGGCTTCCAACTCAGATAGGATATCAGCACTGTCGTCGATCAAACAACAAGACAAGTGATCTCCCAACCGTTCGGCAAATCTCGAGATAACTGCAGCCTTCCCTGTCGGACCCTCCGGCTCGAAAGTACAAATGATCCCGTCAAACAAGTGATGAATCCCTTCGCTGTTACTCCAAATATCCTTGCACGCTTGATAGCGCCCCGAACTCCCAATGAAAGAAAGAACGAAAACAAATGGAATACGCTCGTGATCCAACGCAAACTGTCTGAACTTCTCAATCGCCTCAATGTTCTCGACTCCCACGCGACCTGTCTGTCTGCAAGTATCGCTGTGATCCCTGTCAAGAACCTGATGGTGATCAACAAAAAGGACCTTAACCTGGCCAATGTCTGCAATTGCTCCCAAATGCACTTCCTGTGACTCCCAACGAGTATAGCGACCCTCCGCTGCCTCAAAGGTAAGGAAATGTACCGTGTCCGGCAGAACAATCGAGACTTGAACTGGCTCTGGCCTCCGCGGCGGTGCCTTAGCAAATGCCTTTGGCGTAAGGCCAATCACTGCAGGCGGTACCGGAACAGCGGGCTCAGGCCTAGGTGGCAGTGCCGAAGCAGCTAACCTATGCGCCTCCTCGAATCGAGCTCTGTACGTTTGAAGAACCTCCTCAACAGTCGTCACCCGACTCTGCGCGCAAAAGTTAAAAGACGTAACCCCGTTCAGCAAATGCGGATGTGTCAACGCAAAATGCCCCTCAGCCACGCCCTGGCGAATGAAAGCCCTCTTCTGTGCTTGGCCGCTCTTTCCAGAGCGAGGGAACCTCAGAAGCTTGTGGAGCTCCTCGTACTCGGGATGCTCCGGATCAGAATAACCCCCTTCAGGCGGGGGCGGACCAGTGGGTTCAGTCGGACGACGTGAGTGAACCAGAGGAAGATGCGATGGCTGCAACGACGGCCAACAACCGATCGCAAAGCGATACGGCTGATTACCAAAAGAACACAGCAGCCGCCCCTTTTTCCCACAATCTTGAGCCAAACATGTCCGGTGAAGTGAAACGTCAATGACTGGATCATGTGAAGGCTACATTCATCAAGATTCCTATGACTTGCATGTCATGTGAGACTAAATTCAATACAGTGCTTGGTGACACATCGAATGCGAATCTTGCCTGCAGAGATGCCTTTCTTTGGTTGCTCAAGGACTGCTTCCCCTGGCGTGCCAGATGCATCGACCAGGGTGCATTGCTAGTGGATTAGGGTAGTGTTTTTACCCCATGTCTCTCTCCTTTACATGATTTTACCCAGGATGTTCATTTTTCAAGGTCAACCTTTTGGGCCCTGTTTCGTTGATGCAGTGAACCGGTGCAACAGGGCGAAACCCAAACCACCCATCCAGTGATCCAGTGGAATATCTTCGGACGACTTTAAGAGTTCCCCCCGGGGCCTTTCGTAGCACCCACGGAGCACGTTGCACGTCTCCACCGCCGTGACCCCCTGGCACTGGTCCTCCCGACACGATCATACATCCTTCGTGTCACTGCGTGTATGTGGAAGAAAAATACATGGACAATGGACAGCCCAAGATGTTGAATCATGTCAAATCATGCCAGCAAACTGAGAAGACTCTGTTTCTGATTTCACGGTGGTTCAAAAAGAGTAAATCCCCAGATACGATCAATTGTCAATAGTATGTATATCATGTTTCAACAAATGTATAGTGTTTGAGAGGTCTTTAGCTTCCACATCGACTGCCATCTCTACATTCACACTAAGCCCCGCACACATTTCAGTGCCCCCAACCGAAATGAAGACTCACAGGAAAAAGGACAAGACAGCAGTTTCTGAAATGTTGCATGTCTATAAGAGAGGGTTGAGGGTAGCTTATGCTTGAGCAATGGAATGCAATGGCCAAATGTTACGCTATCCTCACAAAATGGCGACTGCACAGGAACACGAACGTGAACGCAAACGCTCCAACACAGGAGTCTGGACTAGACTTGGATTTATTGTAGCACAAACAACACTCACGAGCCGTGATTTGAATAGATCAAACATCTTGACTGTGGCCCATCCAATGGCCCTCCAAGTTCTTTTCTTCCAAAAGTATAGTGACCACCCCCCCCAAAAGTGCCAGAAACATTCCATGGCGACTGGCTCCTGAAGGATATCGCAGCTCAACATGCAAAGGCACGAGCGCCACTCCTCCTGAACCACGATTCCAGCGAACGGCATCCGGTGGAGTCAGTACTGGAGGGACTTTTCCAGACGGGGAAAGGAGAGATGGAGGGACGAAAATTTGGGTCCGGACCCCAGAATGGTCGGTTGGCTGCCCATGACTAGAACTTGCATCAACAATTTCATGTCCAGCAACATATCATGGGTCCATGGGCTTCGTGCAAATTCCTCTTCTCTCTCTTGGCTCGTGGGTGCGGCTTCATACAGACTCCTCAGCGTCTTGTGAACTTGATTCGATGTTCGTGGGCGGAACCACGCCTTGTCTGGTCTTGCAGTGCCATTGTCATGTTCACCCACATGCATAGTGTTGGGCACCGGTATGTATTTAGACTGACTAGACTATCTATAGTTAATTATGAGTCTCTATGTCGTATTAGAAACAAGTGCCTTACTACTAGGAACAAAAAGCTACTAGTAACAAAGGTTGGCTCCACTCCACCGGTGTCACCTGTCCAAGCTCGCCTTGCAGCACCACTCGCAGCGTAGCTCGGACATCAGAAAGGTGTGCGCCACCTGTCCAGGACAGGTTCGCAGATCTCACTGGCAAAGATGAAGCTAAAAGGGATGGACTGTCAAGAAAAGTCAGACCCAAACCTCAGTCGGTCTTCCTAAGCAAGAGCTTCACCATTCAATATCTTGTGCATTTGAGGTCACGCTGCCAAGTGCTAAAATACCCAAATACCTTGTCAGGAGGTCGTTTGGTCCGCCAAACCAAGCTAATTCTCGGGAAGTGCCAGTGGATTACACGGAACATCCTTTTGGGGGCCAGATTCTCAGCATCGCAGGAAGAACCTGGAGACCGAGGAGATGGTGTTGCTCAGAAAAAAAGGCTTGCTTTAGGGATGCATCAAACTTAATGGCTGCTTTTAGGTCAAAACACCAAGCTCTGCATGAGAGACCGCATGGAATCTGGCTTCTTCTGAATAAGCCGGTTTGGCAACTCAAATGTTTGATTTGCAAACAAGCGCAGGCCAACTGGAACCAGTTCAAAATACAAGACGATCGAGTCATTTTAGAAACTTAAGAGAGCCAAATGGTTGTGCTGATTCTCATCCCAGCTGGGCACCCTTCGACCAAGCCCTGTTTGGGCTGCGCACCTGCATCCTCCGAGCCGAAGCATTGGCATCGAGAACTCCAAGGTCTCCCGCGGCCACGAGGATGGGGAGCGTCCCTTCGTTTCAGTCGTGCCATGTGCCTTCTTCGGCAACGTCAAAACATTCGAAGAAGAGATGCCGATTTAGATGGTGGATTGAATCGGTGTCCACCATTGCAATGGGCGTTGAGCGAACCTCAAAGAATGAGTCAGGCATGGTCCATGGGCTTGTTGGTTCTTTCATCCAAGGGGCTGGCTGAAAGAACTCGATTTGACTGGTCCAAATCGTACAAGGGTGGATGACATCAAACAGATTCGCAAAGAATAGATACCCGTAAAGGTCCATCTACCAGGGTTGGATTTGAGAGGTTTCAACCCACACCCATTTGGCGCTTGGCTTTATACCGGTTGGTCGACTTTCCTTTGGCGTCTTGTTCTTTTGCACCCCCGTCCGTCGCCCCGTCAGTCGTTGTTCTTTTGGCGCCTTCGGCCGAAAGGCCCACCACCAAGCCTGGCCGTTTCGAGATCCGTTGTGCGACCGGCCAAGTACGGGGTCTGTAGTATGGGATTCCAAGTCATAAAGCTCAACCGGTTTGGGAGGGGCAAAGCTCATGTTGAGGGTAGCGACCCGTGAGAGAAGTCAAATTAACATGACCAAATCTGACCAAAAGTTGGAATCTCAACAGGAGCTTGATGCGCTTGAACAGAATTCCATGCACCCAACATCTGAGAACATGAACAGGTGAAGCTACTAGGTTGGAGGCCATCGCTAGTAGTAACAAGAAGCTACTAGTAGCAAAGGGCATCGCTACTAGGAGCAAGGACGCTACTAGGGGCTCCTGGCATCGCTACTAGGAGCATTCTTACTAGTAACAAGAAGCTACGAACGTAGCAAAGGATGAACAGGTGAACTACATTCGACGAATCCTTGATCCGAGCTGTGGAGATCAGGTCGACCCGCCTTGCGCTGGACAAAGGACCGATAGACATCGATAGGTCGATCGATGATAGACTGTCTTGTTTGTTTAAGCCGGCTCCGCCCCCTGCCTACTTAATTATGCAATGTAGGCGCCTACTTAATTCAGTAAGGGAGAGGTAGCATTCCTTACTTAAGCTACTACCTAGGACGCAGGATAGCTCACGCTCGCACTATTGATCTGGTTCCATCTGGTTCCTAAATTTCTAGGAAACCTACTGTCGATGGCTTCCAACCTAGTGGCGATGGCCTAAAACCTAATTAAACCCAGTGGCCTCAGGGAATTCTTCCTATCCGAATAAGTCCAAGATACACACCCAACATGTTTGCCGCGACCGACCATACCAACTCCGGGTCAGAAGCTCCTTGAACTCAGATCAAAATGATCACAACAGGTCGATCCATGGCATGGCATGCATGCATGCACCTCACCACTGGAACACCCGGATAATGCCTTCAAAAGAAGATCACATGCACCTGGACCTAGCTGAGCTTGTAGCTTAGAAACAACTGTTCCATACTGTTCCTAAACGAGTTCCTTAAACTGCTTGGACCCTTCACAATCTCCTTGCATCACTCACCCCCAAACAAAAAGACACCGTGTGGTTCCCTGTGGTTCCGGTGGCGATGCCTTGATCCGATGGTGCCAGGGTTTTGGTTGGAGTCTCGGCCGGTGGACGGTGAATGATGGTGACCCTGGTTTCATCACCGTGACCCTGGAAGGAACTGGTAACACTTACTTTGTCCTTCTTGATCCGGGATTGAAAAGTGAATCCTCTTTGAACGCGCATTGGCAACGATTCGATATCTCAGCCCAGCCTGTGATCTGCAGCGCGACAGAACGCATCGGCCCCGCAGGGCACCATCAAGGCAACCCTCTGAATCCTCTGATGCCTACTGAGTGCAGGAAGTAAAAGAGCATCCAAACCAACCCAGTTGATCTAAACCCAAATACAAAACACAGTTCCCACCTGGTGATGAGTTTGCCTTGCTGTGATACGGGTGGAGTAAACTGACCTGATCTGCGTCTGGAGCCCACGGTCGGGTAGCACTGATATCTCAAGAGGACTCAAGATCTTTCCTGGATTGGTTCAGAACATGCTTTCTTCGTTGTCTGTGACGCATTTCCTTTGCTCAAAGAGGTCGCGAATCTTCTGTGATTCCGTGCGTGCAACCGATCTCTATATATAGTGGTTCTGCCCCAGATCTCAATTTGATTTGTTTGCCTTTTGAAACAGCACTGAGCCATGTGCTGCATCTGCCACGTTGTACACACTTGTTGTAGCGCTCTGGCCTATTTCTCTCTTGTATCTGGGTGTGCCATGGTGTGCCAGTTCACCATGCGCTTTTCCAAGCGCTTTTGGTATGCGCAGTGCATGTGTGACCCTATTCCTTAAATGCATTGATTGCAGCTCCGAAGTCGGTCGACTGGTTGCTCATATGACAGGACTGTGCATCAGTCATGTTCTCCCACTGGCAATGAACATGGAACCTACAGAGATGGACTGAGGCCTGAGACCCGTTTCTGATGATCTTTTTGCGTGCTGATATGCACTTTGTCTGTTTTTCTTGGGCTTCTCTCAGTGTGAGACAGTTTGAGGATAAAAAGGTATTCTTTCCCGCGCCAGAGCTTCTTCCTAGTCCATCCCAGCCTCTTGCATGACCAATCTCCCAGGCGGACGCAGGAACCATTAGCTCAGCTAGGGAGTGGTTAGACTTGAGAGTGCAAGGCTGAAATACTCACACATCGTCAAGAATGGTGAATAGATGTCAAGGAAACCAACGAGAATACTTCTCGGCCGGCCACGGGCTTCCCCCCCCAGCTGGTTCTCAGCCCAAACGCAATCCATCCATATCCTGAGAAGGTAATGACCCTCCCGTCCCGTGGGTAGTTTCTGAAATCTGTGATCCGACCTCCGATCTCTTCTCCGATCGCATGTGTTTTTTCCGCTTGCCGTTCTTCTCCGGTCTCGGTCAGCGGGAGACCTCTTTTCGGCGGGGGCCGAGGCCGGCGGAGGGCTGTGAAAGTCCTGTGCTCTGAAGAAGCTCCTCAAGACGATGGTCCCGCGTCAAAGTTGCGGCAAGCCCAAAAGCAAGGTCCATTCCTAGGTGGGATGAAGACCTTTGAAGGACCCCCCAAAATCTAGGCTGGCTGGTCTTCTCCCATTGATGTCAGTCAGCCTTGTCCCAAGTTGAATGTTGCTGTCAACCGTCAACTGCTCAGCCATGCTTGTTCAAAAGACACAATCAGTCAGGCCTGTCCACTTTTCGTCAGCTCAAAAGAACTCCTGAAAACTGGAAGATTGGGCCACATGGCAAACAGTTGCAGAAGGTCTGGCGCCTATGCATAGTGGATGTCGTACAATAGTTTGATGCGTGCTCGCTGCTGGAATCAATTAAGCAGCAGATCATCTAGACAGAAGAGCCCATTCCATCGTCCCTTTACGAACTAGCCCGGAAGAACAGTGCTCCCAGCACTTGTTGAATCATGTTGAATCGGATGTCTCGAAATCAGATGCAGAAAGAAGTCTTCAGCAGTCGGACGGCATGTTCTAAGCAAAAAGCACACTCAGTCGAACTCACAATCCAACAATCTTGGGCCTTGAGTTCGCTCAGATAGCATCTCAGCCCTACTCATTTCCCCATGCTCGTCTCGCGGTTGGAAGACCCCTCCCCTCCCTACCAGCCCACTACCCGCACCACGCACGCATTCCACAAGGGACCAAAAAAGGATCTTCTGCAGAATTTCCAGAATGATAGGCTGCTCAGCCCAAACAGTGGGCACCACAGGACAAAGGGTTCAAAGGAAGGTCTGCTGAGCAGTCTTTTAGTAGTTCTATATATATATATATATAATTACACCGGCAAGGGACCCCAAATAGTGTAAAGAGGAACAGATGGAACATGGCATCACGTGGAAGGAAAGAAGGAGCACACAGATGAGAGCACAAATATGAGAGGATACATACGAGAGCGCAAATGTGAGAGTGCAGATTCACGAGCACAAATGAGAGCACACATATGAGAGCATATGGGAGCACATATGAGAGCACATGAGAGCACACATCTGAGAGCACAAATGTGAGAGCACATACAAGCACAAATCTGAGAGCACATAGGCGAATACATAGGAGCATTTCAAAGTTCACAATGTACCGCGCCTGCTACGAAATCTGCACATGGAGGTTCGCAAAGTACTGCGCCTGCCACGAAAACTGCACATTGAGATTCACAAAGTGCTGTGCCTGCTACGAAATCTACGCATCGAGATTCACGAAGTGCTGCACCTGCCACGAAATCTCCACTTCCAGACTCAGCAAGTGCTGCGCCTGCCACGAAATCTGCACATCTAGATTCACACAGTGCTGCGCCTGCCACGAAATCTGCACATCGAGATTCACAAAGTGCTGCGCCTGCCACGAAATCTGCGCATCGAGCTTCACAAAGTGCTGCGCCTGCCACGAAATCTGCACATCGAGATTCACGAAGTGCTGCGCCTGCCACGAAATCTGCGCATCGAGATTCACAAAGTGCTGCGCCTGCCACGAAATCTGCGCATCGAGATTCACGAAGTGCTGCGCCTGCCACGAAATCTGCGCATCGAGATTCACAAAGTGCTGCGCCTGCTACGCAATCTGCACATCGAGATTCACAAAGTGCTGCGCCTGCCACGAAATCTGCACATCAGATTCACAAAGTGCTGCGCCTGCCACGAAATCTGCACATCGGAGATCCAAAATGAGCAAATTGCACGAGGCTTTCGCAAATTTTGAAATGCGTTTCAGAAATGCTGCGCCTGCGACGAAATCATGCCTGCAGGTCATACGAAATGCTGCACTGGCCACGCAAAAGCATCCTCAAGTTCAAATTCCAAAAATGCGACCCCTCTCACGAATTCAGCCGTTTCACCTCAAAATATCGCATCCATGGTGCGGATTCCCTGCGCCTGCCACGTGAAACGCAATCCTGCGAATGACACACGCCTGCCAACGTTTTTGCAACGTTCACAAAACACTGCGCCTGCCACGAAATTTACAAAGTCTCCGATTCCTTGCGCCTGCCACGTAAAATGACCTTTTCGAGGCTCCAATGCGTCGAATTCCTTGCGCCTGCCACGCAAAATGCACTTCGTGTCCGAAAACGAGCACGGCACCTGCACGAGAGCTTTGTCCCAGAAGCGCGAAAGGCGCGGCCACCACTTTATGCGAGCCTGCGCAGTCGAAATGGACATGAGGAATTCAAAAAGTAACTTTTGTGCGAGCCGGCCCACGCAAAATGCCGAAACCACACGCGCGAACCCTGATCTAAACCCGCTTAACTCTTACCGTAAGAACCCCTTAGTGCGGAGCACTATTTGGGGAAATATCGGTGATGAGAGCTTGTTGGCATGTTATCTTGTAGAATATTCGTATGACACATATGGGGCAAACCTGTTCTGTTTGCTGATCAGCGTGTCTACGCTCTTATATGAAGGTTTTCTACAATCTGACGCCCAGAGGAATACCCCGTAGAGGCTAGGCGTCGCTCTGGCGCAGGGAGATAGGCCCTGGGGGGAGCCAGGAAAAGACTGATTCAATGGAACTGCGGTGGTTGTCAACGGTGGTTGTCAAAGGTGGAGCCTGTCGAACATTGGAGTGAACATTGCTAGGGCGCTACAGCATGCTACAGCTCGGTCATGACACTTGTGTGGTCAACTGGGGCAGAAGAAGTGTCCCCTAAGTTGAATTTGAATACCTTCCTAAATACTGAAACCTGGCATTGGATGCTTGGACTCCGTTGGACGCTTGCTGTTCGTTGGCCCGTATTTGGTGCATCTTAGCTAAAGGCCGCCGCGGCCTCGACATCGTCGAAGTGTCTCCGCGAACCCATGCGCCTCGCCGCTGGACCAGCGCGCCGCTGCAGTGAAACGTGGACAAAGAGCATCGCATCGCCAGTGCCCGGGCCATGCTTCGGAGAGATCCGACCAAATCCGGATTCGCTGGATGCAAAAACGAGGCCATTGACCTCTCACAGGTTTCTTCGGGATGTATGGGAGAGTGCACTATGGAGGGAACAGGTAGGGTGAGATGCCACGTCCACATACATGTTCATGGTGGTCCATTATAGCCACACCCGGGTAGTGCTGATCAAGTCTCTTCTTCAAACACAAATTCGTCCTTTCTTCGTTTGCCTCATTGTCAGGAAGACTCTCCAAAATGTCCTGACAGGGCTTCTAGCCCATCCCAACAAGTTTTTGCAGAAATAACTGGCAAGCCCTCACTCAACTTGAACGTAACATACCTATTGTGGACCAAACATGACCAAACAAACATCAACAAACAACTCATGATTGCTCCTTGCTGTGACCATAGATTCCTGTATGTGTGTGTTTGTTTCTTTCTTGCAAACATCTCCAAAGGTCAAAGGGTGACACTGAACGACACTTTTGGGTCGCCCTTCTCAAGGATCATTCTATCCGTCTACCGACATCCCAGCTGGCGTTCGACCCGGTCGGAGCCCACCCACGGGGCAGTCCGAAGCCTGGCTATTGAAATCTTCATTCAAAGGGCAAGGGTTGGGCCCTTCTCCGAGAGGAGAGGCAGTCTGTCCCAATGAGGCGCTGCAAACGCTACAAATGGTCAATCTGACACAAAAAGAAATGTGTTGTTGACTGTAGCCCTTTGAAACAGAAAAGCTGTCGGGTCCTGATTCTGGCAGACTTGTTGGTCTGAGCAAAACTTCTTAGACTCGCCATGAACCACTGGGTGCCCCGAGAGGATTAGCCCCACTGTCCGCTGCAAGAGATCATGTGCGGCACCACCTACTTGTTGCTAGTAGCTTCTAGCTACATCTAGCTTAGCTACAAGTAGCGATGCCCTTGTTACCCATGGCATATGGTAGACCATGTGTGTCTGAACCTGTGTCTTCGATGTGTCTTTGATGTCCGTCACTAGCCGCAACTTTGCAGCCAAAGAAGCCAGTATTATGATATAGACCCTTAATCTAGGAAGTCCTGCAAACCCATCTTTGCTTTGCCCCTCGGACTTCGCCCAACCCCAAGAACACGTGAGAGCATGTGAAAATTTCGTCACGCGTGGTCGAGCGCCTGCTCGGCTTTACCAATCCAATCACAGCTGAGCGTTTTAAAACACTCTTGGAGAAGTGTGCTGAAGTACTTATTATATAATACTACAATTTCTTAAATAATCATTGAAGTGTGGTTTGGCCATGTATGCAGTTCACAAACAGTTCAACACAGGGGTGTTCTTCTGGTACAACTCCTACCCGATAGAGCAACCCTAGAGGCCCGGAATCCAAAGGAAAATCATCGATCACATGGCTGTGGACAAACACACCAAAGCACTCCAAAAATCGTTGGTGTTCGAGGTCTTCCTATTCAAGGTTCGGTCCAGCAGTGATCTGTGCGATCTTCCAAAATCGTACATGTAGAAGGATGGGGTCAGCTGATTCATGTGGTTAACACCACCAGGATGGTGCTTTCATGTAGTTTCTTGGCCAGACCGTGTCACAACTGAAGGCAAACCACTCGTAATTAGAAGTGTCTCTATTAATCTCTATTATACCATTACGAATAAATGTGTGCAGGCGGTCTGCGTCAGCTTGCAGGGCGCCCGTGCCTGCAGGAGATGCTGGGCGAACACCACTGGTCTTGTCCTATGCACAAAAAAGAATTGGCAACGAAACACACATGAAGTGAAACTACTCACATCATCTCACATAGTATATCCTCTGATTGCTCCTCAAAAAATGCATATCGATAATTTGCTCAACTCGTACTTTCTATGCTCGACTCTTCTTGTAGTCATCTTTGTTGGTGCGGTTGTGTCTGGTTCTCAAAAAAATGTGCCGTGGTTTGTTTATCCGCCAAAACCTGCCCAAGAATCTGGTAGCTCGCCCTGCTACTGAGACGCTCGCTCTCGCTATCTTTGCACCCCAGAAACAAGTTCTCCTTTGAGGCGTGGTGGAGTTGTCGGATGCATTGAACCGTAGAGCCGAGGGAGCGTCCGACGAGCCGTCACATCCCTGGTTCGTCACCCGCCTTGCATCAATCATCCTGGTTCGGAGGTTGATCTTCGCTTGCACTGGGTGTGTGGGGGGGTGACCTGTTCGCTTTGGTTCGCAAACATGACACTGTTTCACACAATGTGAAAAAAAAAGAACATCAGCCACGGCAGGCCACATGCACCGTAACTATAGACTAGACCTGCAAAATAGTGAATAGTGATCATCTTTTACCGTCGGTTACCAACTGTTGCTGGCAGAGGGATGGTGCCCTTTATAATCCTGTATACAGTACTGAATACAGTATATATTCCTATTTAAAAATAAATGTATATAACACATCTTTGTATCCTTCAAAATATCGGTGAATATGTTCTGGTCCGTTCATTCGGTGTACATTGGTGGTTGAGCATCCGGCAGTGTACCCAGCTGAAAAACCAAGGAAGCCTCATGAAGAAAGCAACAAGGGTGGGTACCTGTAAGACAGTGTGGTCATCTCAAGATTGAGAAGGAAGGACCATACAACATCCCCACGGAAGGGATCACACAAAGGACATGATATACCTTGCATGATGACCGTGAAGACCGATGACCCCATAAATATGGAGTGGTTTCATGCAGTTTCTGTCATCAGGGCCGACTGAGTCATCTCCTCACAATGCACGCTACCATTGTCGGTTGACATACTCTTGTCGATAGCAAGTAGGACCCAAGTTGTGAATACCAACCAATTGTAGAATAGTTGCTTTAACAGGGTAAGCAACAACAAAAGCATATCATTTGAGCCTGTCTGGTGATCTTGTTCCCATAGTTCAGTGAATGATCTAAGGATCCTGCTTAAAGACTAGACTATGTGGCCATCAATCTAGAAAACCCTCCCAAAAATGTATCAGTTGTCTCCATGTAAGGCACCGTAAGCACGGTGAAAAGGTGAAACATGGGCGCGAACAATCACGGCCACTGGGGTCTCCGACCGCATCCCACAAGGCCTCCGCATACTGCACCGCCTGCGAACCAAGGAATGCCTTTGGGTTGGGCTACACCTCAAGGGACCTCTTGATGAACAAACTCACAGACTGCTGCTGGGGAGATAAGCCAAGCAATGGTCAAGCTTTTGCAGGGTTGACACTCCCACCCGTGTTCGAACTTCCAACATCTTGGAACACCAATCCTAGTGTTTCCGACTTTCCACTTCCTGTGCCCCCCCTGACCGTCCCGAACGCACGAACGCAGTCGGATCCCACCTGGGAGAGGGGGATCGATCTCCGCAGCCGTGGGAAGGGCCGTTGAATCGCATCCAAACAATCCTCGACCATCCGTTGACCCTCCGTCGACCCGGATCCGGTCCGAATCCGTTGGGACTTCCGTTGGGATGGCAGAGTTTGGTCCGGCAAGGGTTTTTCGTCGTTTTCCTTTCAGCGCGGCTGTCGATGTCTTCGGTGTGGATGAAGGCTTGGGCCCAAAGTGCTGCGCAGCAGCGGTAAATTGATGAGCCCTGGTGCTTGAAAACGACCACGCTATGGAAATGCCTTGTATGTCAGTCGACACCATTGTCGACACCCTTTGCAAAGGCAGAATAGAGCCGATGTGCATTGAATCAGATTGTTCCACTGCACGAGCCATTTGGCCAACTTCCGCTTGAGGATAGCCTTCCTCCATGGTCTTGGGGCGGCAGCTGGCGGTGCACCCTATGACTGTTACCAGGAGAAACAGGTGGCAGTAGTCTGGGCTTGAGTGCCGATGACAGCCACCAGGAGAAACAGGTTGTAGCAGCAACGAGTTGCCATCCGCTACACTGCACTTCAGTGACCGGGGTCCTTACGTAAGCCCCGCAGCGTCACATTTGCAGCTTTTGGGCGTGGCTCGGGTCCAGTGCCCCTCAGGCCGTTTTGTTTTGTGATCCGCGTGGCATTGCGAACGGCGAATGCCACTTAAGGGCAGCTGCAGCTAGTGCATTGTCCATGGTTGTTTTTGTTTTTGATTAGAGGACCACTGCCCTTCGATGTCAGTGAGTCTTCCGTTTTGTGTTGCTATAGCGAGTTGGAGCTCAATTTGGGGCTTGTCTTCATTGAGTCTACATCCAGCCCTTCCCTGAGATCCTCATTTCGACACCAGGCAGCGCCACTTCTATTAGTGTCGATCCTAGGGTGCGATTAAACATCAGACCGGTTGTGAGCCGGCGGTGACTCTTGGAGCATGGACTCTCAAGGTCCAAAAGGTTCCAGCATTCTGAAGCGAGAGCACTCAACATCGAACTGTCAGCTCCATAAGTGATCAAGATGGTGCTGGACTCTGTGGGGCTGGATGATTGGTCGAAGGACACCCATGTGACCAGCTGATCTGTTGTATTGGAGGTCTGAGTGGAGTCTCCATAGTTTCCCGATTCCAAGACAAACCAAAAGGATAAAAATCACACCCTAGAAAGCCTGTCAATACGGTCAATAGAGTCGATATACGGTATGTCAATATAAGAAGCCAGTGATAGTAGCGCAAGAAGCTGCCGCAGCCGCCCATTGGCTGCAAGTCCCTGTTTTTCTTTGAGAGGACTGGGTCGCCGGTCAAAAATGGTGACCAGTTGGCCAAATCACCCAGGCTGCTTGGTCCACTCCCCACTCATCGACCGAAAAATCCCTGTCCTCCAGGTCTTCGGCCTCTCCTTCGCTAATTTCGCGAACAAAGCCTGGTGGGAAGAAGGACGGCGCGAGAAAGGACAGACAGGGTGAAAACGAAACAGCTGCAAAAAGAGAGCGGCATGGAGTAACTATTGGTCTAGTTTGGTGCACCGCACCGAGGATTACAGTGGATAGTGGATCATCAATTTGACAAGATCGAATTCAATGACCCAGTGCCAGGTCCTTTGGAGCCACCGTATGTCAAATTCTCCAGTTGTGAGAGGTCAGTGATATGACCCTCAGAGCACATCCTTGACACTGCCGACTCAACCTGTCATGATACTCTTCGGGCCTATCTCTGCTTGCCTGGCCAACTGTATAGTTCCAGGGTCCTGGCAGCAAACGTCTACAGTAGGTCGGTAGGAGGGCCGGCTCCACGTGCCACCCAGTTCGTAAAACCATCAGTGGCTGAACAAAAAGACAGGCACATGGGACGGCGGAGGAGCTCTCTGGAAAACTCCAAAAGATCACAAGATTCTCACAACCCCGCCAGCTATAGTTTTAGAACCAGTGTCTAGCTTCTGTCTAGCTTACTGACCTTTCTGCCACAATAGGTCCGAGGTGGCTTTAAAGATCTTTTAAGTGGTGGAACCCGGGGAGGGCGCGTTCAAAGATTTGGATTTAGGGAGCAGGGGACAACACTCAGGTGTTGTGAAGACACTAGCTTGGGTGGTCGCTTTGTGCACTGCCATGACGACTGACCGCAAGAACACCAACCAAGACAAGAAGTTGTGGCCAACCTCAACACTCGACCATCGAGCCATCGAGTACATACCCCAGCCATCACTTGGCGCCAGGAAACATAAACCCAGACATGTATATAAGTGGAACGCCCCCTGTCTGCAAAGGAAAAAGATCCATGCTTGTGGGTCGGATTGCACTGTAACTCTTGTGAGACGCATTCCTTGCCTCAAAGCTCTTGGGTTCTTCGGCCACAAGCTGTTCGGGTAGCCTCACAAATTGATGAGCGTCACTTGCGCCACGCAAGACGTTCGTTGATGACTCCCATGCCCTTGGGGAGCCATTAACAGCTGGACTAGAGATTCTGAACCACAAATCATGGCTGAGAACCTCGGTAGTAGCTAGAAGCTACTAGGGGCTCCTGGCCATACTACTAGGAGCAAGGACGCTACTAGTAACAAGTGCCACGCTAGTAGTAACAAGTGCCTTACTAGTAGTAACAAGAAGCTACTAGGGGCTCCTGGCCTTACTACTAGGAGCAAGAACGCTACGAGGGGCTGGGATTCTGTCGTCGCGATACGCTGCGGAGTCGCGCAGCCCATGTTTTACGACGCACGGCAGTGGCTCTGCAGTCGTCAAGTTGGGTCTATCCATTGAGGTCGAAGGGGCACAGCTGTTCTCCGAAGCGAACGTGTGGTAGGCCACCTGCCAAATGGTTGAGAAGCCGGTCTGACCAGGCAATTTGGGGCCGAAACAATGATATTCAACTGTCTGGTGACTATACAATTGGTGGGAACATGTGTGAACAGTAGAGAATGAGAGCATTTGGTCGACTCCCAAGTCACGCGATGGCAGGACATCCCCAACCTGCACGGTAGACGATGGTGTCAGGGCGATCAATCCCTTTGCCTTCCACATTGCAGCGCTCCCGGCAAACGTAGTCACTTTCGGCCACTTCCAAGCCGTCCTTCTTCAAGTCTCCTCAAGGGGTACAAAGATGCTCACATCGAATAGATCTTTTGAAAAGTAGCGTTACAATCCATCGTACGAATCATACACTGGTGAGGGGTTGGGAGCCCATGTCCTCTCTCCGGGGGAATTGTTGGAGACACAACTCCCGAGGATACTTGGTCACAGGATGTCACAGGCCACACACAGCGAGTATGGTTTTGTATCCCCACTTACTCTATCTTGCTATGCATGCTGCAGATATGACTTGTAACTGGGTTTGAATTACTCGGAAGGTCGCCAAGGAAGCTGGTTGTCCAGCGGTTTCGACTGCCTGGTGATTATATAAAGGCCTTTTGAACTGGCTGTGTTGCACCAGGCAACTCCTGGGTGAGTGCAACAAGCGTACTGGATTCGTGCCCCATGTCTCTAGACTGCTCCGACCATTTACGTCCCAACCCTGCACACCCGGAAGGGCTACGGCTACATCTCGGCGTCCTGGGGTCATGCGCTTGCCATTCATCCGGAACTCACCCTCCAGGATCTCACACTTCGTGTACTTCAGCGTCTCAGTTGAGCATGGGTGCCCAGGTGCACTTAATGGGTGCACTTATATATATATATACTGTATATATAATGATACGGAATGAGTCGACCATCTATCCTCTGGGTCTTTCTTTAGAACACTGCACACTTCAACTTCACACCGTCCAATCCAAGCAGCTTGATCTCCAAACTCGTGAGATCCATCGCATTTGGCATGGCAACAATGGCCCTCACCTTTGAAGCAACCACTCTGCTCACCCTCTTTCTGCCGAATTGCCCCGGCCTCGGAAAAACGCCGTATCACACCGCACATGCAGTATTGCTGTGGCCACAGCTCAGCCAGCTCTCAAGGGTCAAAACCCAACACCCTAAGCCCTAAACGACTCTATCTCAGACCTAGCCGGGCCACTGGGAGCACCAGGGCCACGATTGAGATGAAGTGCGCAAACGACGGCATGGCTGGATGGCAATTGACGTCTCAAACAAAGAAATCACCCGCGTTCTGCTTGAGCCGAAACACCAGACTAGTGCGCAGGGTCTAGACTGTAACTCTGATGGGAATCATCCAGGTCACAAGGGCATCCCTTGAGCAAAAAAATATTGATCTAGAACATGTTTACACAACGCAAAATCAATCAAAAAGATGCAAAACCTACGTGCCAGTCATCACATCCTGTATGATTGTGCCTGTATGATTCCAGGATGGGGCCCTTCACGTGCGCCACTCGAATAATCAAAAACCCGTCGGTTCAAGACTCTGAAACCGAAGCTGCCCACTTCCGCCGTCGGTGTTAAGAGACTCCTGCCAAGCTTGGTGGGTCTAGTAGTAAAAACAAACCCTATATATAGGATTCTACAAGCAACTCAATAGCAAGCACCTCTCAAAACTCTACTGGAGGGCGAACCCTCAACTATGTGCGGGAATGAGATAATGAAATCCCTGTAGTTGAGCTGGGGACTCCTCAACAGTTAGCAACCACGTGGAAAAGCACTGCGTTGCAATGTCACCAGCGCCCTCCCAAAAAACAACAAATAAGAATGAATGTGCGTTCCTCATAATAAGGAGATTGATATCATATCATCAATCTATGTTATAATCAGCACCTCCTGGCGTTCTTTCGGCCGCTAGGAACTTTGGAGGCGACCCGTCTGTGTCCTTGCTCCTAGTAGCGATGCCCTTGCTCCTAGTAGCTTCTTGTTCCTAGTAGTAAGGCCAGGAGCCCCTACAGTAGTAGCTTCTTTGCTCCTAGTAGCGATGCCAGGAGCCCCTAGTAGCGTCCTTGCTCCTAGTAAGCTCCAAGTCTTCCCAAGTTGTGCCTCAGCCACGCCGCCCGTAAGCTGATCCAGTACCTGACAACCGCCGGCTCCGAGCGCGGAAGACACGTTTGTCGAACACCGAAAGAGGCCAGAAAGGAGTGTCCATTCATGTCCATTCCACCGAAATAGTGGCTTTTGGTGGCTGTTGATGCTTAAACACAGTCACTGTTAACTGTTGTGGTTGTGCTTTATGATTGCGGGTTGATGTGGTTTGTGTGCTGCGTTTGTTTTTGCTCTTGTTGTATCTTGATGTTGTGGGTTGAGTTGTGGTTGAGTTGTCTTCATGTTATGTCCCGTGGAACCCCCCCAAACAGGTCAAGGTTGACTACTGGACCTGCCCGCTCCCATGGGGTTCCGGCCTCGAAGCTTTCGGTGGGTCGGCTGACGCAGTCGAGTGAATTTGGAGCTTGAGAATCCAGCTTGAGCCATGGCCAGTTCACCTGGTAGAAAAACCCTTATACTGGATTCTCAACCATCCATTTGGGGTGCCATGGCCATAGCTCAGTTCCATAGTATGTATGGCTCCAACGTGCCTGTCAAAACTATTGATCTTGGAACATTGCACCGGATTCGCCATCTGATCATAGGAAGCTTCGTACGGGGTGGCAAGGGGCTGTGGCACACTGGAAATCGTCTTGCAAAACTTTTCAACAAGACTCGATAAGAATCGGTCAAGCCCTATTCGTCGATATTGACACAACTTCAAAAAGCCTCAGTCAACCAGGATCGTTGATTGGGCACAAACCCCGGTTGCTGTAGATGCGTTGAAGGCCCAGTCAACACCGAAGCAAAACCGGCTTGACCAAAATACGGTCTCAGATATTGATGGTTCGGTGTTCCTTGTCGCTCTGGCCGGTCAAGAACTGAATCGGTGCCCCAAAACAGTCTGAAAAACGCATGTGATCTTCACACAAGCCCCGAGAAGACCTTCAACGCCTTTGAAAAAAATGCCAGATCCATGCATTCAGCTCTTCAGCAAACATGCAAGGACAGTTTTCTCAAAGCTGGCCTAGGCTTCATTGACAAACATCAATGCTCAAGAGACTCTTGGGGTTTCTAAAAAGCCCATCTTCTAAGTGGGACCCAGGACCGCTTTCTCGTGTCTCAAGCCAAGTTGGTGCGTGTGGGCACTTGAGGCCGCAAAGTGGATGCCCCAAGCGTTGGCAGGTGCCACAGATCTTAGCGAAGTGTTGGCAGGGGCGCTTCGGTGTGGTTTCCGGAAAGAAAGGGGGCCAGTCTCAACAACCCGCCCAGCTTGGCTGCGCTGTCAGTTGTTTCTTATTTGGGGTATATTTTGCATACTCAGTTCTAGAGTTCTATTGTATATATATATATATTAATACAGTATATAAATCTTCTCTCTGGTCGGGAACCAATCCGCCAGTATGAGGTAAGGCAGCTCTAAGTCCACCTCCTGGTCTGCAGATGTCTGCGTCAGACCCAAAGAATGCAGTCTGAGGATCAATGGAGAGTTGTCATGGTGAATTCGGGGTCCAACACTTGAGAAGTTCATATTCCAATCCTTCAGGTGTCCAACTATCCTGCCCAAAATATGACACAATATATCACTAAATAACCAAACTTCAAAGGGTGCCAGATTGTTTATATATTATATAATACATATCCCTAAAGACCTCATTCTGGGTGTTTGTTTCGGTGGTCTCAACCCAAAACACGACGTACAAAAAATAATCACCAAAACCTCTGCCTGGTCCCCTGCGTGGGCCCGAAATCGGGCATCAACAAGGGGGATTGACAGTGAAATACAAAAGGACTTACTGAAATAACACTTCATAGCGCTTCATAGGATGCTTCATAGGATGTTCCTGTAAGTCTGGGATGTTCCACAACTCTTGTCTTATACTTCATTCCATTCAAGAGTTCTAAATTCCTACGCTACGCTGCCCGATCGGCCTGGTCGCATGATGTCGTGCATCTTGTGGCTTACGTGGAGCAAAGGCGGGTCACAAGAAGCATGAAGCCCTGTCGGCACCTGTAAGCTTTTGCAAATTCTCATCAGTATTGATGCCTGTTTTGGTGAACCTCAAGTGAATCCCCGGTTCCGGCATGTGATCAAGAATTCTTCTGGACACTCATCGGTGCCATTCCTCTCCGATTCGTTTCATCCTCACAACAGATTTTGTCACAACTCTCTGGTCAAACCAGCATTCTTCGGTTCGTGGCTGGCAGATTCGTCACCGGATCCCTCCTGCACTCTTCGATTCGTGTCAAACAAGAGACGATCAGACAGACCAAATGAGAACAGCAAATCAAACCCATCGGTGCAGGTGATTCCCTGACAGACTCCTGCAACCAAGTCAGAGAAACTGCTGCACGCTTCCAATAAATCGTTAAACAACAACATGTGCCTTCTGTTATCAAACGATATAATCTTCAGCAAATCGGCTCCGATGCCACAGTCAATGCATCATTGGGTCCACAAAATTGGTCCTCCCAACAGTAACACGTCCCGCCTGTCTTCGTCCCAAATCTCACGATATCTCAAAATATCCGTCGGGATATAAATCTTCATGTCTTCATCCCAACATCAAACAGGTTTGGTGCTCCTAAGCACTCTGCGCTCCTGCGCAGCTCCTCAGTGTTCATCTGAACTTAACTTTCTGTTTCACGAGAAAGCTCCGGTTGCACACGCGGCATGAAAAACACGCGGCCGTCCTTGCAGAGGCCCAGCAGCTGGCCTCCACCTGGCGAACCAGTCACTTGACACGAACAGATCTTCACCTCGATCGAGTGAAGCCCAGAAAACCAAACACCCTTACAACATGGAGCTTTGAAAGGGTGTCCGATGTCATACTTATCATGTCCTTTCTTTGGGGGCAACCATTCCATCAATTCTGAAATGACTCCAATCTGAGTGCTAGTTAGAGAAAAAAATGTGAACCGCAAATGTTGGCCACAATTGTTGGCCAGTTCCTACTTGATCATGCATCAATTCTTTTCAACAAACAAGTTGGAAACACAGGGTTCGCACAGCAATTTATTGTTTAAATGTTGATGGAGTGTTTTTATCTTTGATTCCCAATCCCATTCCACTATAATTTGATATATATATATATACACGTAATACAGTATAAGTATATTCCTTTAACATGCCTAATATAACTATAATATAGTATATGATTGCTCCTTTAACATGCCGATCTTCTTCCTCGCTAGGGACAGCCCATTTCCGTCGGGCATGGTCCGTCAGGTGCATCAGCCATCACTGGCAATTCAAGGCTCAGGTGTCTCATGGTGTCTCCTTTTGGGTGCCACATCTCAGACGAAATCCATAAGAGTTCCTAAATGTTGCTAAGCATCTACAGGAGACCTTACCTTCAACGAGGGCTGTGGCTGCCTGTGGCCTGAATTTTTTGGTCTTTTGGAGTCCACGAGCGGGATGGGGACGCCGAAATGGGCCGAGCCCACTCAAGATGTCTGAATACCTCAGCTAACCGAGGTCGGGGATATGAAAGCTTTTGCTGGGAGAAAGGCTTCCCCCAGACTCACTCCTGAATGGATGCTTCATTCAGACACCTTGCCATAAGAGCTAAAGGCAACACAAAAAATGCCCTAGAACATTGGATGGAAAACAATCTGTGAAACGCCAGTGATCAAATCAAAAGAAAGCACCTTGGGGAGAAGGCTGCAGAACAACAACTAACAAAGCCAACCGCTGTGAAACGCTGGAAATCCAAAAGCAAACTCACACGCTCATACACAAAACCATATGCGCGCGGCCTCGCCAATACTTCTGCAATACTCTGCATTGCCTGGCCGTGGTTTTGCCATGCCCAGCATATCCCAGCATGCATTGTTCTCTCCAATGGCTGTGAGTCCATGTGATCCAGAAACCAGATCTAGATTGGCTTTGTCAAACCAAATTGGCAGTGTCACGGAATTCGGGGTTGGGAGTCATTTTTCATCAATTCCCAAGAGCCCCGTGATAAGGCCTTCTTCAGCTTCAGGACATTGGGGATCGGGGTGCTTTCAGTGGAGCTCAACAATAACAACAAACCGCTCGAGACCTCTCAAGTACAGTAAATGAACGTTCTATGTTAGAGACACGCATCATTGCCCATGATGGCACCAAGAACACTACGGGAAGTGGCCAACCCCCTTGATGGATGACTGGATAATGAGTCTATCTGCAGCGCAGGTGCTGAAGAAGGCTCATCTCCTCTTCATGCTGAAGGAATGCATAAGCAAGCATGAAGAAGTGAAGGAATGTTTTGGATTGGGCCCAGTGGCAAGCCACACCTGACCCCCAAACAAGCCTCAGACCTAAGACTGTGACATGTACACGTAGACCCAGTTGCAACCCAAGAACTCTTTCTCTCGCCCTATTTGTGACCTTGTCCTCTCTCTACAGCAGGATCCCATGTGAGCAGATGGCTCCAACATCAGACCTGTCTTCGTAAACAACTGGGTGTGGCTTCAAACGGAAAAGAAGAATCCATGCAGAAGAGGTCCCTGGGTATCGTTTTTGGAGTCAGATGACAGTCATAGCCATTTTGAGCTGAATTGAACTTCCTGGCTTGGTGCCACTGTCTTCAGGATTTGGTCATGGAGGTCCAACTCCGCCGCCACGACACCGGCGCCTGCCGACGGCTGGCCTCTCCGGTCCCAGCGGAACGACCAACGAGCCAGCACCACCCAGGTCGAGTGGTTGATCAGCCCTCCCTGACGATGTATTTTCCAATCACCCGAACTGGGTGTTGAACTGGTTGCTGATCACCCCCGAATTGGGTGGGGACTGGTCGCACCTTGAACTTAATCTTTTGGAGGACTTGTTTGCTAGTTGCCTTATGTTGCCACTAAATTTGTCGGTATTGAGTTGGACCGTCGCCCGTCGCCGACAATTGATCCACCCAGTCACCGGTGAAGCTGGTCCACCCAAAACATTGGCCCAGCTTCTTGCTGTCTTGG